CTAGGCACCAACGAACAATAATCGAAACCAAGTCACTCTTCCTGCGAGACTTACTCATCTGGGTAAGTGGTCACCAGTCAAGAGCTATAACTGCTGGTGACCAGGGCCATAAGACAAATTTAAGTAGAACAATAAGATAGTAATATAAAATGTTTATCATAGAATTCTTTGAGTAAATAACTGTGGAATTGAAATTTGAATGAGGAGAAGGAAGCAGTCATGAATTAAAATTTAGACAGGAAATAGTTGGAAGAAAGCTCCTCCAAATTGGGAACAAGCTTAGTATGTTTGAGGATCAAAAGAAAGATGGGTGCCCATAATGTTTAAGGAAGGACTGGGAAAGGGCGGTTCTGCAGGTAGACAAAGATCACCCAGGGCAGCCCTTGATGAAGCCAGCTGGAAATTCACTCCTGTCCATCAATGTTGCCAGGGACTGGGAGTGGAGGGAGTTTGTTTATTATTTTAATAAACATGAATGCTAGTTATTTGTGCACACAGTTGGGCTTTAGGCCTGAAAATGGAGCAAGGGGCCAACTCTTGTTCTTTGAGCCTTGGATAGATCACCAAGTGGCACAGGGAGAGGATCATTTAGGGTCTCTACCACTGGCCAGCTCAGCCACTTACATGATGTCTGGCAGATTTAGAGCCTCAGAAAAACACTGTGCAGCTTGCCTGTCTGGTCAGTCATCTGCCTTCCAGCCAAGTTAATGGTCACATGAGCATCCACTAATGGAAGCCCCTTAGAGAGTTCATTTTATTCCATCTTATTACAGGCTGTATACTAATGTATGTTGTATGCCAATAAGGTGACTCACTAGCAAATGATTGGCTACAGGGATTATACATACACAGTTCTATACATAAACATACACACAAATGTGCAACAGTGTTGTACACCTGAAGCAAAGGGTCTTCCTCACAGTGAGATTGCATTAAATCCACTTAATTTGATCATGACTTATGTTACTATTATTAATAGTCTGAAAGTAGTGCACGTGTATGCTGCATGACCTGAGGTAGGTTATACAGAAGAAAAGCTTGAGTAATTTCATTTAATCCCCTCCACTTTTACTATTAAACATTGTCTTATATGTTAGCACCTAAGAAGCAAAACTGATGAATTCTGTTTTTTGTTTTGTTTTGTTTTGTTTTTGTTTTTGTGGCATCAACAAGGAAAACCTAATGTGTGCTACTGATATTACAGCTCTATCCCACCAATTTCCACAGAGAGTAGCTTATGTGAGATGCCAACCCTTCCCTAGCTAGGTGCTTCAGGCAGACATGGCCTACCACAGCAATTGCTGGAAACTGTGTGGTTGTCATCTTGTATTGTGATGAACAGACTTATGAAAGTGTAAATTAAAATAGGGAGGCGAATTTCCTGTTGGCCTTCAGGGAACCTTGTGGTCCAGAACTGGCTGTGGAATAACTCAGTCAGGTATTGGGGAACTTGCAAACTCTCCTAAGGCACAGTTGCTGCTGAGAGGAGCCTGGAAAGTCATCAGTCAGCAGTGTGGTGGCAGGAACTGCAGCCCGGCAGCCCTGGAACCACCCAGGTCTACAGTGCTCAGCTGGATCTGCTCATCTGTGGAGAAGAACAAAGAGCTATGAATGGTGAGGAGAGAAGAGACAATCTGAACAGCTCTTGAAGAGTTCCAGTCTTTGTTCCTGAGAAAGAAACTCACAGAAAATCAACAAGAATGGTTGCTTCTCTGGTAAATGCTCCTCAGGGTCTGTTGACATTCTGGAATGTGACATTTAACTTACTCCCAAGAGGAGTGGGAACATGTGGGTGCTGCTCAGAGGGCTTTGTACATGGATGTGATCTGAAGAATTAAAAAAAAAATCTAGTTTTTTTGGCCTGAATATTGCCCTGGCTCTAAGCAATGGAAGGTCATCCAAAATGGACAATGGTTCATTTTCTAGATTGGGCATCCACAAAAACCTCCATAGTCTGATCTGCTGCCACACTACAGCCATGCTGGTGTGCATGGTCCAGAGGCAACATGGAAGTCCATGGCCAATACTGCCTCGGGATGTATGTTGTCTGTGCTGCCCCGTGAGGCCATATTTGTGTCCATAGTCTGAGATGCTTTAAGAAGCCTTGTTGATGCCAGTGGTCCAAGCTACCATGTGAGACCTTGTTGATGACCATGGTTCTTGTTGCCACTGGAGACCATGTTGGTGTTCATGCTCTGTGCTGCCTGAGAACATGTTGATGTTCATTGACCATACTACCACTAGAGGACATGTGGACATCTGAAGTCTGTAGAGCCACCAGAGACTGATCTGTGCTGGGGTCATGTTGATGTCTGTGCTGCTGCCAGAAGCCACAGTGAGGTCCATGGTAAATGATGCCTCTGAATACCCTGTGGATGTTCATTGTCTCTGCAATCTTGGGAACCCATGTGCAAGTCAATGATCTGTGATGTCTCCAGCTGTTATGGGCAGGGAAGCTTCTGCTGTAGTGGTTTTGATGACTCCAGACTTACAGTTGAGAATGAGAGACATGGAAAGGTTCTGCAATAACCACCTCCGCACACACACACACACACACACACACACACATACACAAAAACAAAGAAACAGCCTGGACAGGAAGCTTTCAAGAGGGTCCTTAAACTTGGGATAAAGATGCTGACACATAGCTCTTTGCTATTAACTAATGGCTTCTGACAGGGGAATGGGAAAGGACTCCACTGTGTTTAAGGGGATGACCAAGCTCCAATGAGTGTACGGGCAACACAAATTGCACTTGGTGTACCTTGTTTGTTTGTTTGTTTGCTTGCTTGCTTGCTTGGTTTTTGAGGTGTGAACCTGGGAGAAATGGGATAGAAGTGTGATAAGGTCATATTTCATGAAATCCTCAAATAAACAATAAAAATAATATGTTGGAAAAAAGTAGGAAGAAGATGGGAAATCGTCCCTCTTACCAAAAAAGGAAAGAACCCTGTGGGAATAGAGGCTGGCAATCTGCTAAAAGAAAAACAAAGCAAATTCTTCATTTTTAAGTGTTTCATTGACCCATGATAATCAAACAGCCTTGCCAGAGAAGGGTAATTATCTTTGTTAGTATCAGATGCTCTGTGAATGGAGCCACCCTTTTCCTCTTGAAAAATGAACTCAGACTAAACAAACACCCCATTTTCTAGTTTATTGTTGATCTGAATTCCCAGACTATAGCCTATTTCATCTGTTTACCTCTTTCTCCCCTATGTCATATAAACATAGGGCCAAGCTGAGCTCTGTCTACATCTTCTAGGCCTTGAGTCCAACAGTGTGATGGGTTAAAGTGCTTTGTATTCTGGTGAGACTTGCAATTGCTGGATTGTGGTTTTATTAGATCCCGTGCTGCTCTGCTCCAGGCAGAAGCACCATTTCTTAAAACAAGAAGAAGGGGTGGGGTGGTAAATTTAAAGAAAATTTAACAGTTTTGTTTTCACTGGCAAGTATCTGGAAACTGAACAAATAATAAATGCTGTATGCTTATACACATAGACAATCCCCATGTATAATGGATTTGACACTAATTTCTCATTTACTACAGCTGGAAAGCATTCCAATGTAGCCACTCGGACTTTCACTTATAGCCTTCAATTAATTACATTTAATTTTCAGCATGTTTTTTTTTTAAATGAACTTTGCAAGTTAGATAATTTTTCCCACATTTTAGGATAATGTTATGTAAGTCTATGCTAAACAATGATGCTCCTTAGGTTATCTGTATTATATGAATTTCTGAAAAAATAGTTTTAGCTTACTTATTGAGATATACCTACTTCACACATCAAGAAGCATTAAAGTATATATCACATAAGGGCAAATCTCTGTATCAGTACATATGTGGGTGCAAATGCATACACCATAGCTTCAAGCACAAAAAGATGTGAAATATGAATGTAATCATAACTGTAAGTTTGCAATCAATAAATGATGAACTTTAATCATTTTTCTCTAGACCTGGGTATTTTCTCAGACCAGAAATATACATGTCTTGTCCTGTCTAACTTGTAGAATTTATTACATAAACTTCTTATATACAAGAGATGATTCTTTTCTTTAAATATTTAACTGGAAATGTCTTGGACTATGAGAAACAAATTCAGGGAACCCATGTTATGAAATGCATACCCATGTGACACATGGGTAATTACAGATGAGGCCCACTGTACCTTTTCTGAGTTTCTGCAGCTCTTTAAAATAGTCCGCTTTCAGACGTTTGTTGGGTTTATATCTTTTCTCTAGAAGGAAACTCGACAGTGTAATCATGATTTCTAACCAGCAGAAACACCTAGATATTCCAGTTCCTCTTCTGCTTCAATGTCTTTAGCTGCCTCAGAATGGGGGTCAGGTGATAGTGGCCCAGAAGAGATCCTGCCTCCTTCTGAATTATAGCAGAGAGTAATGGTATCACTGTGCACATTACTATGTCTTTTCTTAAATCCTTTGTGCCAAGGCATCTCCCGTGAAGTAAACTAATCATATTTTAAAGCTTTTGGTTGCTACGTATTTCTTTGTTCATTTCTTAGTCTTCAAGAGTTAAGTCCCTGGATCAAAAGGTCTCAGTGCTGTGTATTATTGTAGGAGTTTTCTGTCCCACCAGGTCCTACCACCACTTCAGTCCCAAATAAACACACAAAGATGACATATTAATTATATGGCTAGGACTTCTTACTGGCTATCTCTTGCTTAATTATTAACCCATAACACTGATCTATGTATTTCTGCATGGCTTTATATTACCAGAGGACACCAGATGAATCCTATCTTCCTGGTCTCTACATGGCATCCTTTTCCAGCCTTTCTCTGTCTAACTCTCCCAGAATTCTCCTCATTTCCTAGTCCCACCTATCTTCCTGCCTCTATTGGCCAAAAAGTATTTTATTCATCTACCAATAAGAGAAATATATATACAGAAGGACATTCCCTATCAATGAATAACTACTCTCTAAGAATACTACCCAAACAAGTCAAACTTTCCTTAACCCACCTTACCACAGATGTCCTTGTATGCCCCTTGAGGCCAGTGGAGCGTTTCCGTGACCTACGTCCTGATGAAGTAGCTGATTTGTTCCAAGTGACCCAGAGAGTGGGGACAGTAGTGGAGAAGCATTTCCAGGGGACCTCCATCACATTCTCCATGCAGGTGAGTATATAGATTGTTAGGTGTATTTCTTCCCTCTCTTCTCAAACCTATGTGGGGCTCTGTATCCCACCCCATATTAGCAGAGAAGCAGTTGTAGGTCACATGCATATTGGCATCCTTCCCACTAGTCACAGAGAGATGTATTTAGCCAAATCCACAGACTGCTTATTCTACATTGAATTTTTTATTACACAGAAGTTTTCCAACTTCTTCTCCTTGGAGCATCCACTTCCCCTTTCTACTGTGCATGGAGAGTGAGCCTATGTGCTCCTTTTCCACTGTGCCAATGCCGATCCAGAATGATCTTGCTGTCCATGAGAAGCTGGGAGGGAAAATAGGCACATGGATAAGGATCCACCCACAACAATCACTTCTACTTTTCTGCCTCAAGGTCACAAGCACTTGAAAGAACTGTGCCCATCTAAATGCCTGATCTTCTTAGTTGATTTCTAGAGGAGAAATTTAGTCAGGTATCATTAATTAAATGACTTCTGATCTAAAGATAACCAAACTGTGGTACTTTGCCTCCCCAAACATTTTCAGCTGTACCTTTAATGTGATTAAAACCACAGCTGAAAGCAAAGAGCATGAAAAAATAGAAAGGAGTGTCTTGCTGGATAATTCATATCATCTTATACAAAACTCCTCACTCAGAAGGAAATGGAGACCTGTCTAGTCCCACACGTTCAAAATGAATGGGTCCCATGAGATTACTACAAATTAACACACAATGAAATTGGCTCTAAATTATTAATGAACAATATTTCTGAATAACGGGGCGATATCATCAGTCAGTTCTCAACCCAATGCTTTCTCTTTCTTTCTCCTTCTTTTAGGATGGTCCTGAGGCTGGACAGACTGTGAAGGTGAGTGCTTATTATGTGCACACAAATTAAGAAGGGACGATTATAGGAACTAATAAAAAAATCACAATGAGCCATTTGAAGCACATTGCTGTTTCATTATGTTATCTTCGAGGTCAGAGAGACCCTCAGTGTTAGAGCCATAAATCCTGACATTATAAACTGTGCCAAACAGTATGTTTCCCATTAGTTTACAAGACATTTACCCTTTGTCGTAAAATTATTACTGTGCAAATGCTAAAACAGAAACTAAATCAAGGAATCCTAAAACAGGACAAAGCAGGGGACATCAACTTCCTGTGGATTTTATGGGTCCTGTATAGACTAAAGCACCTGGTAAAGCTTTAGTTCTGCACACAATTTAACTTTACTTGTTCCTTTTTCAGTGTGGAGACATCTGCTTTGTGTCAGGTGCTTGCCTTCCTACCTGATCCCTCAGCCTGTTTTCTCTTAGTGTGGACGCATTTCTCTTCTCCCTAGCAACTAAATGCCAAAGTTGAATCTTAATGGGATGAATGGAGTTCAAAATGGTTTTGAAGTGTGCTAGAGAGGAAGGGAGGATTTGTTATGTCAGCCTCTAATCACAGAAAATGGAAAAAACTAGAAAGTTCTACTAGTTAAGAAGCAAGAGTCCAGGTGAATTCCTGTGTGGTTGGGTGCAATATTAAGTGACAGAGAAGGCTGGATTTGTGGTGGTGGAAATCAGAAGTAAGCCACATTGTGCTGCCGATGCTGCTGGTGCAACATGTGGTAAAATAAGGCTTTCGGGTGTTAGGCCTTGCCTTGACTGGCAGGGTAACTTGGGACTAAATCACAGCAAATGAATGTGGCTCCTTTCTGAATTTTGTTTGTATGTGGATCCAGTGAAGAACATGCTGCAGTGGGACTTTTAGAAATAGGATATCTTGAAAGTTTAATGGGGAGTGACTGTCTCAAAGGGAAATCCAGCAAATTCCTAATGACCAAAAGAATGACCCCAGTTTCTCCAAACACATGACATGGAAAACGGCTGAGGGACATTCCATGTCCCCTCTCCATTGCCATGTTAAGCATTTAAATAGACAGATGCCAGATCAATGTCACTGTCTTTACTGTGTCATTGATCATTGAAATACAACACACAGATATTCAAAGTTGTCTACTAGAGTTTGAAAACTTAGAATTCGAATGTAAATTTAACATGCACTGGTTTAGTGTTTGGTGAAGTTTCAGAAACCATTGAAGGTACTAAAGGTAGAGCTAATGCATGGAAGAACGCATAGTTATATGGTAGAATACATGGTCTGATAAACAGCCGAATTTTATGTGAACAGGTAGATTATATGCTCTCAAGATTTTATTCACAATTTAAAGATGACATTTAAATTGTTTGTTATACAAATGGACTTGAATAGGGATATAAAAGTAACTTAGAAGTTCCTAGAGGCCAGGGGAAGGATGACATGGGAGTGACAGCTAATAGCTCTCTCATGTGGGTGATAGAGATGTTACAGTATTTGGGAGATGGAGATACTTTCTTAAAATGTAATTGTTTAAAGAAGACAAATAAGCATTTAGTCCAACAGGGCTGAAGACCACAGCAATGGCGTTTCAGATTCAAACGGCTGTATGATCCCTCTCACCCAAACCAGGTGTACTGTTTCCTTAGTTTTAATGGTGCTGAAGATGCACTGACTTATAATATGAAGCACTCACTATGTATGAATCATTGACTGTACTTACCATAACCAGCATTGTTCAGCTTAAGCTGATTTCTGTAAACAATTGCAACTTTTTTTTTCTTTAAATTAAGCATATTATGTTTTGAAAATTATTTCAGTGTTTCCAGCATGGTCACAGCTTTGTGAAATATAATTAAGGGATAAAAATCATCATCACACACATATGATCACACACACACACACACACACACACACACACACACACACTCACATCCCAGATACACTCCACCTTTAGTAGATAGTAAACTTCAGTTAACTATTCTGCTACAAGTCCTTCTATATAGAAGTGTCTATTCTGTGGTTATCAAACTGTGATGTGATGTTTACAGTACATTGTATGACAGTTTATTTGGGTGTCAGCTAAAAAACACAGCCACCTCCACAAAGAATCTCAGCTGTTGTTCTCATTAACTCCCTAACTCATAATGCCATGGATGGGATAGGAGCCTTCATCATTATGCATGGTCTGATCTTTTCAGAAGAAGGCTATTTCACAGCTGTGTTACCTTCTGGTGACAAATAACTCAGTGATGCTGTCCAGGTAACCAGGATGCATTGAATCCAGTCCTGCAGCACAGGCAGCTTCCCTAGGGGGCAGAGTTGCACCTTCAGAATCCTGTGGTACCACTGGAAGGCTGGGAGCATTTCATGGTTTGAAATCAACACAGTTGCACATTTTAAACAGAGGGTTGACAGCCTACTATCTAAAGCATGGGGCCTATCCACTTTTTTTTATTTTAATTTGCCTAAGTGTGAGGTTCTCTGTGCTATGTCTGATGTCTGAGTTCTAAACCACTTATGTCTTATGCCAGGTAGTAATAGCAATAAGTCACTAATGGTCTTTTCCCATGAAGCAAGTGGTATTATTGTTAATGAGGCTACACCACTGAGTTAGCCTCTTGAACATGATGGCACTTCAGGATTTTTTTTCCCTGAGGCATTGGATTCTGCCTAGCAACACAATGGGTGGCCTGGCTTACTCAGTAAGACCCATGTAACAAGGAAAAGGAAATATTGAAGTAAAAAGTGACCTTTTACTTCGCAATTGATTATTTAGTTTCTGTCTCAAGTTTAAAAGTAGAACACTACCAGGCACCAGATGATCAGCATGGTGATCAGGAACACCCTACAGGGTTGAGGAGCAATCTCTGTCTCCTCTCTCAGCTACTTAACCCTTTCCTGAACCCACCCAAGTTGCCCTGGTGAAGATCATACTCCCTGGCCTGTCACCTAGCTGGATTCCTGTCAAGAAAGTCTTCATTGTTTCTTACACATTTGTTTGTTTACATATGTTCGTTATTTATGTCATTTCTTTATTCTCTAGGGAATATGTATGTATGTATGTATGTATGTATGTATGTATGCATGTATTATGTATGTATGTTGGATTCTGTCACTATTGATGGTGCTTAGAACAAGCTGCCCAGGAAGATGGCCTCTTAGCCCCTGGAATAGTTGGAGTGGAGATGAAAGAAGCTAAGAAAACTGTGGCAGAAGGAAGGTTCACCACTCCCTAGCCTTGATCAACCGTCCTACCTTGAAGTAGGCCATAAAAGGATTATCTGACCTAGCTACCCCAAAGTAGACATAAGCCACTCCCTCCAGAGGGGCCCTCCTGTTTTCTGGTGATCTGTAAAGACTATGAACAAGCGGGCCTTGGTAAGTTACCCTAGCATTTGCTGACCCATCACAATGCTGCTTTCATTCCCCCATTTCATTTCCTCCTGTCCAGAAAAAAAAAAAATGGTTCCCCTGTGTCTTAGGTCTTTGTGTCTGAAGCTTCTCTGAGCACGTATAACTTACATCAAGTGATCCTGCTTCTGTTTTTCTTGTTAATCTGAATGCTGTTGCAGTGATCTTCATCCCAACCAGCATCAAAGAAAATAGGAAATAGGAGAGAAGGGACAGGAGAGGAGGGTAGAGATGCTTCTCTCCCATCCTTTTTCTGTAGCGCTTCATTTATTTGAAGTGAGTCACATGGAGACACTATGGGATTTGTGCTGAGACAATTATCTCCTCCCAAGTCTCTATCATTAGGCATCAAGAAGTAACATTTGACATTTATCTGTTTTCCATTGCACAGCCAGGTTTTCTTGTTTTCCAGAAATTTCTATGAAATATTCTCTATATTGTGGGCATCAGACTAAATTTCCCATAAATTATGTTCCTAAATCTAAGGGTTTATCTATTTAATCTTTTATCAATAAAAACTCACAAGTCAGGTATCAAGGTAAGACCTTGACCGATTAGAGAATCGGCAGGGGAACAGCTGGTGACCACCTCTCCTTCCTCAATCCAAAATGCCTAGAATCTCTCCAAGTCCTTCCATACTATTTCCTACCTCTCTCTATATGTCTGCAGTTCTCAAAATATCTATGACTAATTTTGGTCATCTAGTAGCTAACTATGTCTTCTGATTCAAAGTAAACTTTATTAGCAGTTTCAGGAGTGCTAGAGTATGAACAAAATATTCCACAACACTAAATCCTAATCGCAAGTGTAATTAAGGTATACTCATTCCTTTTAAAGGAATGCTTCCTAATAAGATTAGTGTGGATAATTTTCTCTGAGACTGTTACATGAACATTACTATGTAGAGTTACTTTGGGTATATTAAAGGGAAATATTTATTCCTAGTAGGTCACCTCATGCTTGCACATGCTCTTCCATGATTGTGGTACTTAGATGCTGTACTTAAATGTTTAATTTTATGCCTTTAATGCAGTAGGAAATATGTCTTAACAACCACTGAAATATTAGTAATAACTTTCTAGATTGCTTCAGCAGAAAAAGGGGATTCTTTAAATGTTATTAAAAATTATCTTTAATCTTCTCTTCCCTGTGGCTTCTTTTAGTTTTCTGGATCAGGAGGGAGGTCTGGCAATCTTATAGCTTAGGGTACAAAGAGGACACTTAGCTTTCAACAAAGTCTAAGAGTTAATGTGTCTTGGCATCTGTCAGAGGCACCATAGGAAGGTAAGCACTATAACTTAACTTACTAACTTTGCCACTCTGGGCAAGCCTCATAACTGTGAGCCTTGCCTTCTTAATTTTCCAGAAGGAAGACTATTGGATTGGATGATGTTGGGAAGAAGCTGATGTGGACATAGGGAATGTATAAGATATTAGGTAGGATTGAGACACATTTACAGGATTTGGACCCAGATGATGACACTTCAAATTTGATAAATGCTGTCACTGGTGTGTGTGTGTGTGTGTGTGTGTGTGTGTGTGTGTGTGTGTGTGTCTGACTCTGTCTCTGTGTGTGCTTATTTGTTGGTG